CACCCGCCAACTACCAACGAAAAACACCTAAAGACAGATCCCCCCCAGAACGGCTTATATCTAAAAGTATAGATTTTAAATGTTACAAAAGGTCTTTGCGATCTAGACCACAAACAAAACATTATTGTTATTTTCTATTGGACTTCTGCGGTAAACTAACCGGATAACCGGATCTACAACAGGGAATGGTAACCAGCAGCCGTGCTGTCAGCCCTGACAACACCTGTATAAAAGATAAATCTGTGTAGCACGTAGCTAGTCGGTAGTTGGGGAGAAGAAAGACAACGCTTTGCCTATGTTCGGATTCCCAGAATAATCCGCCCTTCTCTCTGCGCTGGTGATTAGTAGTTGTGTGCTCAATGAAAAACAATACTGTTGACTTCGTCCCATTTCTGAATCCTTGTGTTTGAAGTGTTTGGAGTGAAAGCGGTTGTTAAAAACATTCCTTATAATAATTATTTACTCAATGATTTGAAAACTGTTTCGTAGTGTGATTTCTTTCCTTTTCTTAAGTGTTAAGTTGTTATGGTGTTATCTATACGATCCAGGGACTTCTAAGAGCACAACACATGTACATCTTAATGCTTAATTTTTAATTTTCATTTTATTGTAATTAGTTTACTTTTTTAAAAGCTTATTTAAGGATTAATTATCTGCGTCTGTGGTATACTGATTAGGTGCTGCCCCGTTGCAGGTAGAAGGCCACCTGAGTTTGATTCTAAGTGGGGAGAATTTTCATCGAAATGTTTCAGTCTTTCCTCTATGGCGTTGTGCTTTTCTCAGCCCGGTTTGGCCCTGACAGGCAGGGTCGAATCCAAACTCATATAATAATAATAAGATCTGAATGTTTTCCTTCTTTTTTTTTTAGATGGGGCTGGGGGCTGGGGGTAACGTCTACATTGAGGAAAAAAGGGACTAAGTGTGCAAATATTGATATCATTATAATTTACAAATTTCGTTCAACTTTAAATAGAGAGTATTAGTCTGTTCGAGCGCTGTGTGAGATCTTATGTAGTGACCATCGCTAGATATTGAGATTGTAGGAAATAATTGCCAAAAGCCGGAGTGAAATAGTGCTGTGTTGCATTTTCTGTTATTGGCAGTGTGCCCGCCTATAGAACTAGGATGTATAAGCTCCGAGTCTCCTTATTCGGTATTTGAACATTGGGGATGTGGCTTTCTGTTTTTATTTTTCTTATGTATGTGGTTTAGGACCCCATTAACACAATTTTGAAAATTTCGTGGCGTCGGTGGCCTAGTGGTAAAACTCTCAGACTCGTAACCGTAAGGTTGTGGTTTCGAATCCCCTCAGGGACCCGACGTTGAGTCCTTGGAATGGCACTTTACACGAATTTTTCTCACTTCACCCAGGTGGGAATGGGTACTCTGTTATTGACAGTTAAAGATCTTGTCAGTTTATTAGTTTTTGACAGCATAATCAGATGCTTGCACTGTATGCTTGTCGGAAAGTTGAGAATGTTTCTGAGTGTTCTATGGTCTGCTGGGGCAATGATATATAGTGTAAAGCGCGTTGAGGTTGCTGTAGAGCGGGGTTATGCGCTATACAAATGCTATTCACTATTATTATTTGTTATCATTATTTACTTAAATACTGCCTGTCAGAGCCAACGCAGGCTGAGAGGGATACAAACATCCTAGACATTCGAAACAAATTGGTCGCTTTTAAACACAAGGTCGCTATCCCGAAAAATGCTGTTTTGAGAAAATGGAAGGTAACGTTTTTGTCCCTTGATCTGTTTCTTTAAAAGACAAGGAGAGTTTTCTCTATAACCAAACAAATACACACCAATGAAACCAAACTTCTCCTATAGGTAGGGCAATGCCCACTTTTTGAGTAGGCCAAGATTTCTGGAAACCCCAGAAATCTGGGTTAGCCCGCTTCTTCTTAAAAGCGACAAATTCTCCCCCAAACGATGAGAATCGAACTTCGGTCTTCTGCTTGCGACGGTTGTTATTGTTGTTGTTGTTGCTGTTGTTGCTGTTGTTGCTGTTGTTGTTTTTGTTGTTGTTGTTGTTGTTGTTGTTGTTGTTATTTTTGTTGTTGTTGTTATTGATCCAGCAACAGCTGGGCTCTCGTTCATCTGTCCAATGCCATGCAGTGCTAAGTGCAAGCTTGCTGCTGTTGCTGTAAGCTCAGGACAGCAAAAGGTATAACCATAACATCACAGACACTGGTTTGCCTTCCCTGACTTCTCTCGCAGATCCCATTGAAAAAAATGGAAAATATTTAAATGTGAATTGTAGGGGAAGGTTTCATTGGGGTTTTTTCAACCCTCTTTGCCTGGTCGGGTAAGATATTTACATAAACTAGAAGTTTCGTCTTTCAAACAACCTTGAAATTATGTAAAATAAACAAGACGCAAAAAGCAATACAACACTCTACAAAGAATCACGGCAATAGTGCAAATACGTTTAGAGTCCAACCAAGTTAAAAACTGAAACCGCCTTCAGCAGAATTTACATTATTCATTTGAACAAAGAACTCTTGTATATTCTTCAAGGAAACAAAAAGAAAAGAAATGAATTCGCTGTGCGAACCGTTTCTTAAGCTTCCTATACACTTTGAAAACTACTCTTTAAAAATATTTTTTTAACAAAGACCGTGTCTCATGAAGGACAACTATTGAAAACCGTTGAGGGTTCAAACTAGGTTCATTTTTCTTGTACATGTAGTCCAGAACAATGCTAGCTGACGCTGACCTAGCCCTTAACAAGATTAATACTTTTTACGTTAGCACATGGGGG